GTTTCCCCTGCAGCTGTGCAAAGCTTTGATACTAAATCTTAAACTTTCCAAGCTTTCTTTGTTTGGTTTCTACACACTTAGCACCACTTTGTTAGCTTGGTGTCATGCTAACAGACCAGGCAGGCTGGCTATCCAGTGTCCCATGTGTCTTGGAAGACACATTGCTGCTGCACCTGAAACCAAACTCACAGGCTTGCAGTATAGTGTAACTAGAGGATCTGTATTTCATTTGTGTACATACCCATCTTGAGTGCTTTTTCTCTGAGGTGAATTGGGTGCAAGTGAACATGGTGATCAGACTGTAAGGAGAGCAGTCATCTTGTGGACAACTTTCTTAGAGTCATCCCAGGCTTCTGTCACCTGTCTCTTGAGTGTGAGGCAAGTGGTGACTAAAATGACAATTATCTCTCTTGCAGATTCCAGAAGTTATCAAGTTCTGTTGTGATTTTCTCATGTCCTGGGTAGATGAAGAGAACATCCTTGATGTATACAAACTAGCTGACCATTATGACTTGAGACATTTGAGTGAACAGCTGGACTCCTACATTTTGAAGAACTTCACAGCTTTCTCACGGACACAAGTGTATCGACAACTACCCTTGCAGAAGGTCTACTCCCTTCTCAGCAGCAACCGTTTGGAAGTTAACTATGAGTTTGAAGTTTATGATGGAGCACTTTTTTATCATTATTCTCCAGAGCAAGTGGAGACAGATCAGGTCTCCCTGATGGAGCCCCTTAAGCTACTTGAGACAGTTCGTTTTCCTCTGATGGAACCCCAGATCCTGCAAAGGCTTCATGACAAATTAAGTCCATGTCCTTTAAAAGATACAGTCGCAGATGCATTGATGTACCACAAGAATGAATGTCTTCAGCCAATGCTTCAGAGCTCCCAGACACAGCTGAGATCAGAGTTCCAGTGTGTAGTGGGATTTGGAGGGATGCATTCTACTCCATCCATTGTCCTCAGTGATCAAGCCAAGTATCTGAACCCCTTGTTGGGAGAGTGGAGGCACTTCACAGCTGCACTAGCCCCCAGAATGTCCAACCAGGGGATTGCTGTTCTCAATAATTTTGTATATTTAATTGGTGGAGACAACAATGTAAGTGGTTTTCGAGCAGAGTCAAGGTGTTGGAGGTAAGAGAAGGATAATCCTGCTATTATTTTTATTAACACCCTGTTGCCCATCTCTGAGACAGTAAGCCAGCTGTGCAGTCTATACACTTCCTAGCTGAAAGATTAGGAACTGAGCAGGGGCCTCACAGAAAGAAAATACAAGAAATAAAGAAATGAGCCTGATAGTAACAGGAACTAGGATTTTCTACAAGTCATTTGAATGTAGTTTTGGTCCCAATAAAAAGAGATTTAGCTCCCAAAATGGATTTTTAAATAAAATGCTATTACTGATGGATTATTGAGAATTTGTGTGCACAACAGATAGCATCATTCCAGAATTCTCTTAAGTGGTTCTGCTCCAGGGAAAAGAGCAGAAGGAAAGAACAGGTCTAGATCATAACATCCACTACATTTTAAAACCAGATATAAACCCTTTTTGTCCTTATAATGTGCTAATTTTTACTAGTCTTAGGTGAGTTGCCCCTATTTATGCCATGCATAGTTTTACATTACAACCAGTTTTCTCTGTAATTAAAATTGCCAGATAAGACATTTTGACCTGAAAATTAATCATGAGTTTTACTCTGAGCAGCAGATATTTGGTAAAAAAAAAAAACAACAAAGAACCCACAACATATTTATGCCCTTCTTGGCCTCTTGAAAATCCAGATTCAATCTTTGTGCTATTTTTAGCCTGTTTTACCCTGTAGAATGGCTTTGTGCAGGCAGAGATTTTGATGTATAACCTGACAGCAGGGTATAAGATAATGGAAAACCTAGGCTTTTATAGCATGATTATATCATCTAAAAATAGAGTAAATACAACTTTGCTAATAATAAAATGCTGACAAGGCCAAATTTCACTCCCTTTTACAGCTGAGCTCAATTTCAGTCAAAGACAGCACAATAACCCACAACTGTGGTGCTGTCTGGTATTCCAGCAATGGATCTGTGGCTGTGTGAGTAACTTCTTTGATCCCATTCTTCCACAAGGTATGACCCACGACACAACAAATGGTTCCAGATACAGTCCCTCCAGCAAGAACATGCTGACCTCAGTGTGTGTGTTGTGGACAACTACATATATGCCGTCGCAGGCCGAGATTACCATGAAGACCTGAGGGAAGTGGAGAGGTACGACCCTAAAAGCAACACCTGGGAATATGTGACACCTCTGAAGAAGGAGGTGAGTGCATTAGCCACACACTACTACCTTGATTCTGTGATACAGTTCCCTGATTCCTGAATTAATCTTTTTAGATGCTTTTCTCATGTGTAGCTTATGTGATGCAGAATCACATCTCAGCCAGCTAATGTTAGACCATTACTCATTTGAAATATGTGAGTGATTTTTTTTGTCATCAGTACCATTTACCCTTCTAGGACAGGAACTGCCAAACTAGCAGTCGTGACCCCAAGAACCAGGAAATGGTGCAGTGGCATAAGAATTGGGGTTATGAGGGGAGAAGTTTGTTCTCATACTGCTAAAAAAGACAAGAATTTTCATGTTCATGCTAAAATTGTTGCAAAGGAGGAAGATAAATACAAACTACTGTTTGATCAATCTGGGTTAGGAAAGAAAACTAAAATCCTAAGCAATCTTTCAAGATAATATGCTGGTTTCTACTACACCTTTTCAAAGCTTTGGGTTAAGTGACCGGCACAAAATAATATTTGTAATTTCATAAGGCCTCTTAATTGAGTATCAGAGGACACCTTAAAAATATAAATATTACTGCTATTTTAGAAAAGGCATGCAGAGGCAGAAGAGGATAAACTGCTTGCATGAGCTCACAAATAATAAATGTGTCAATGCTGAGAATATTAAAAGCCTTAAGATCCAGTGGAGTGTCACAGGGTACCTGCACTCCTGATAACACTGCTTGTGTAAGAAAAGAACCAGAATCGTTTCCAAGTGGACCAGGGAGAAAAGTAATAGTATGAATGATCTTCTAACCAAGGAGCAATAAAGAATGAGAACCCACTGTAGTTCTGGAAGTTTTAAAAATTCTAGTGTGTTTCATTCAGAAATTCACACTTACAGCATTATCACCTAGAAGGGAATTGTGTATAAGAAAATCCTTCCAGATGCTGATACCTGCATAACTCATGAGGAATGTCACTCCCTTAATGTCTATTCCATACTTTGAATTGAAGAGAAATACATAAATCCAGACCTCAACCTCCTGCTTTCCCATGTACAGGTATATGCACATGCTGGAGCAGCACTGGATGGGAAGATGTATATTACCTGTGGGAGGAGAGGAGAAGACTACTTGAAGGAGTTACAATGCTATGACCCAAAGACTGACCGCTGGGAAGTTTTAGCAGATGGTCCAGTGAGACGTGCTTGGCATGGGATGGCTGCACTGCTAGGAAAGCTCTATGTAATTGGTGGAAGCAACAATGATTCTGGCTACAGAAGGGATGTTCACCAGGTGAGAGCATGTCGTACCTGTGTCTTTCTTGGAAGAGTCTCTGTCTTTTGCACACTTGCACTCTGATGTAATGTCTCTCTTCTACTAAATATGCAAATAAAACTGTCTGCCCAGCAACAGCTACTGCACCAGCTCTGCCCCACTCAGCTGCAGAACTTGCAATGATTTATTTACTGCTCTCTGTCTTGTCTAACCACAAAGCATTACAGCTCTAGCACCTGAAATTCCTCACACTAAATTACTTTGCATTGTCTTTTTGCCTAAGTCAAGGACTTCTGAATTGCCAGTGTGTAATTGCAGGACAGAGTTGTTAAGGATATGTTGGATGGCAGTTGTATAATGCAATTAAATGTACAGTGTCTGATGGTAAGTGATGACTAGAGAGAATTTTGCTGCAGTGTTATTCCAGCTTCTAGAACTGCTAGAGACATTAAAAGAAGACACAAAAAGTAACTGCTCTCATAAAGCCAATGAAGATGGCAGAATTAAATCTAGCTGAAAAGTGTATCTGAATGATAAAAAGGTGCTTACAAATAAAAGCTATTAGCCAAGTAGGTACCCAGTGGAATCTAAAACTTCCCAACATATGGTACAGAGACAGCTTAGCAGATTTGTCATATTTGTATGTTCCAGCACATTTTTTCCTAATGCAAACAGATGCATTATGTCTGAGCATGTATCACCTTGTGTCCCCACCTCTCCCACTTTTGTATCCATTTTTTCGAATACCATACAGCTGTTAACCCAGCAACAAGGTCAGAAGTTGTGATTCAAAGCTATATGGCAGCTATGCACAGTTTTCTGCTGAGTCCTGTATTTCTAGTACATAGTGATAGGCTCTCTGCATTATCAACACCCTGTCAAAAGACTGATGATGTTGCATGGTTTCCTAAACAGTTTGCCATATGGCCAGGCTCTGTCACTAAGACACAAGTTGGATTTTGGCTAATCTCTTTCTTGTTTTTATAGGTTGCCTGCTATAGGCCAAGCACAGATCAGTGGACAAATGTATGTCCACTTCCTGCGGGACACGGAGAGCCAGGTATTGCGGTCTTAGACAACAGGATCTATGTCTTGGGAGGCAGATCCCACAACAGAGGAATCCGCATGGACTACGTCCACATTTATGATGCAGAGAGAGACTGTTGGGAGGAAGGACCCCAGTTGGAGGATGATATTTCTGGGATGGCTGCCTGTGTCCTCACTTTGCCCAGGGCTATTTTAATGGAAACAGAGAAGTGGTTCTCAGAATGGCACGCAGACCGCATGAAGTATCACCTTGACTTTCCATCAGAAGTTATGAGCGTCTCAGACTGGGAGGAATTAGACAATTCAAGTGAAGATTAGAAAACTTTTAATATTTATTTTTTGACAGCGGAGAAGGAAATTAAGTCTTGGAGAAAATATTTAGAGATTTTATATGTCTTTCTTATATACATAAATCAGTATTTAAAGGTTTGAAAAATAAGTGTTCTGCCCAAAGAGCTGTTCACAGTCAATATCTGCCCATTTGGCACTGCCCAAAATGGCACTTACAGTCAGTATCTGCCCACCTGCCAGAAAGCAGCATTTTTAAAGTAACTACAGAACTGTCATTTTCTCCCAGTTAAGGTATAGAGGTTCTTTTCCTTTGAAGGAGAATTTTATCAACCTGCAGCATGGACAGAAAAAAAGGCACAGAAGGCTCTGTTGGCTAGCTTCTTGCCTTCCAGCTTTTAGCTTGAAATAGTTTTTTGAGATTTTATTTTTTGTCTTTTCAGTAATAAAACTTCCTAGCCAGCTTAACACAGGAAGGTAACACCTAGTGTCTCCCTCTTGTGCCAGGTGTCAGACAGCTTGATTGGTTTTTCAGCAAGATTGAACCTACAGTAACAGGAACAGTAGCAAGAATGTCTGAATCTTCGTCTCATCTGGGCATGCAGCCATCTTTGTAACTGGGTTAGAGTCTGTGAACTGACACCCACTCCTGAACTTCTGTACTGCAGGTTCTGTCAACAGTGGAAAGAAGAAAAACCTCTCTGTACAGAGTATAGTAATCTCATCGTTCAACTGTCAGACACATTTGTTTGTGAGCATAAGTTAATAAATCCTTGTCAGAACTTTTTTCTTTTTAACTACTGTCTCAGTTTTATTAACTGTGATGTGGAGTCTGAATGCTACTGAGTTGAATTACGTCCTGTTGTACTACATTAAGATCAGTGAAGCTACACGAGACTGGGACATGGGCAATTTTTTTTTGTTCTTTTATGACATGCTTTAGAAGAGGATAGAGCAGATACTGGTTTGCCATGGCACAAGAAGAAAAATAATAAGGAGATAAAGAGAGATATTGAAGATTACATTGGTCCAAGACCCTGCAGTAGCTGAACTAATGCCAGGAACATAATACAGAATTAATACAGCTCAGAAAGATAAGGCATAGTAAATCCTTCCTTCATGAGGCCTTAAAATAATTGGCTTCTCACTACCATCTTGCCTAACATGAGTTTAGAAGCTAATTTAAAGTCTGAACCAGTGGGATACCTGGAATAATAGGGCATCCTTTGTCTTGGAAGGGTGGGAAGTAATCAATGCCACCAGAAAATGATGACAGCTGCCAAAAGCTTTTAAGACTTTTAGCAATAATGGGGTCACAGGAGAAGGGCAAGAACCAGAGGGACAATCAGAACAATACAATATTAGTCAAGTATGATCACATAATGACAAATACTGTGCACATTGACCAACTACTTTAGAGAAATGGAAGAACTTCCTGGATATTACTATTACTTAGGGATATTTATGGAAACAAAGATGATTTAAAAATGGACCTAGATGAGTCCACATGAATATACTGGGCTTCTGGAAAAGATTCAAGAGTATTTACACACTTCTTTTAATAAGCTCAACAGCTTTTTCTGGGTAAAAGGGCATTTGTTGGATTTTTTCCTCTAGCATTGTCAGTTTTCACCTCAATCTCTGAACCTTTGCCAATTGGCAAATAAAACAAAAGATCTGGTAACTGCAGGAAACCGTGTATAGGAGCTTCTTCAGAAAATCCTATTTATAACAAGCTCTGAACTGTATGTAATGTATGGAAATGCTGTCTTACACTGCAGTATTGGAGACTGACAAGTATTGCTATTTTGCTGACAGAATTACTTTTAATGTGTAGAAATTAAATGTAGCCCTCAGACCTAAGATACCTCTGACATGGACATGACTAGAACTGCTCCTTCCAGACTGGAAGTGTTGCAATGGCAGTTTGGTTTACCTGCAGACAAGGGATTCAAGACTTCTAGTGGTCCGAGTCATATTCTAGACCCAGCTGTTCTAACTAAACCAAGACATCTAGCTCAAGTCTAATGCTTGCAGTGCATTTTCCATTTTAACTAGCATTTCTTGACAGCCCTGTGATATCTTACTATACAAGTGAAAATGTTATGTAGCCCCTTCCACGATAAAAAAACCCTAATAATTCTTTGTCTGACTTATTTTCCTATGTATACCACTAGAGGGTATTACTTACTGTTACAACAACCAAGCTGTGGGGCTAATTCTTAGATTACATAGGAAAATATAAGACATGAGTAATTATTAAGCTAAAGAAACATCTTGAGAAGACTCATGGCTTGTTTTTTTTTTTCTTCTACCCTATCACTCCTTCTACCTGTCATACTGATATTTAGACAGGTGATCAGCTTTTCCATTTATCAGTACTTGCAATTTTTTGATTGCGTAATTTATTACATGTTGCAGTTGGATGCTGTGCAAAGCAAATCAGTGTAAGGTGTTACAAGGAAATTACTTCTCCTTGAAGCAGATAATCTACCTTAAAGTACTGCAATATTTTTTTCCTCTTTTTTTAGTTACTGGTATAATATCCCTAAGTTAGCTGAACGAAACCTAAGGGCAGGTATTCTGCATTTTGGTTTAATAAAAAGAAAACTTCTGTTGCTTTTACCCTCAAATTTTTTTTTCATCTGAGCATAATGTGACTATTGACAGTTATGCTATGCATTATCTTGCCACAGAGTTTATTTTAGCTTCACTCAAACCAACATAATTATTTTGCAACAAGCAGTAGCTTGTTGAGCCCAACATATACCTTTTCAGACTAACACACAGGCTAAACAATAAAACAATTGTTTTGCTTTGCAACTGGCAATTTTAGCTAACTCAGCAGATATAAAGAGCTTGTTGTTCTTGTTTACTATGTTTACCTATATAAAGAAATTGCAGGAGATATTTACACAGAGCTATAATTATTGATGATATTCTTGATTGGTTTTCCTCTCAAGAATAATTCTCCAGGAACTTAAGACTTCAAGAGCTTGCTTAAACTTTGTGTTATCTTAAGAAAAACATGTACTCATAGTTCTTTAATTTATAAATTCTCTGATATCCTAAATACATCAGTCTCATATCTTGCAGTAAAAAACATTCATTTGTGACAGTGAGTCCTCTTGAGACAGTACAGCACGAGACATTGTGGACAGATGGAAGTGAACTAAGAAAGCTTTTAAGTTCTTCCTGGTCTATAAGAGCATAATCAAACAACTCTTCCAGGACTGAGTGATCAAATTACTAGCACTTAAAGTGCCGATATGTGAGGAAGTCCAGAAGAATAATAACTAAATTTCTTGATGATCTATTTTCCTATTTCCTGCCAGCACAGAGGTAAAGCTGTATAGGCATATTTCCTAAACTTGTAATTAGTGGACCTGTATCCTGAAGTACTTCAGGCTTCCACATTTGGAGAAGTGATTGTAATTGCTTCAGTTTTTGTTTCATAAATGCTTTCACTACTGTATTTCTTCTCCAGCTGTCTAATTCCAAATCCAACATATCCCTTCCCATTTCCTCCTGGTTTAAATTAGGGTCATTAATTTTGCATTGGAAGCATACCCAGTACTTGATTTGAAACAAGTAAGGATTCTCATTCTGTACCCTTGACAGAAATGTAATTCTGCTTACTTAGAGACCAGACACACATACAATTTATTTGGCATTCAGCCCAACTGATACGGTCAGAAGCTTCTGGCAAAAGAAGGAGCAGCTGGGCAGGGAGAAAGAAGGACAGGACCTTCTCAAGGGAACATTCTGACAACTGAGTTTTTATTTCATCAGCAGCTGATGCACTTCAGGAGCTCCCCACCTCCTCAGTTGTGCTACAACTATTTGGTCATGCTCTGAGGGTGGAAGCTGCCAACAGGTAAGACAAAGAGCATAAATGTATTTGTATGCAATAAAAAGATAAGATGGTACCATACATTTCTCCATTATTCCTAAACCAAATGAAACTGTAACCTGAGATGGCTGTCTGTAGCCTAGGAAGTTGAAGCCCAGTCTTATCAGATAACATTAATGATATTTTTCTCATATGTAAGTACAAAATGCAATCTTTTACCTGGAAGATCTGCCCTAGTTCAACCAGTTATTGAAACTGAGGAGAGAATTACTTGTAGAATGCACACAGCCTGCACGAATGCAAGTTCAGGACAGCTGATTGTGGCAGTTACTTCCAAACTGAAAATTTCTTGGAGCCGTAGAATCCTCTCTGAATGGGAAGGTGGGTGTGCTGGTTTTTCAGCATCAGTCCAGTCCCATGCAGTGCTGCACAAAAACTGGTTTATAATTAAATAATATTTATTCCTGACATGTTTAAACTCTTTTTAGACTATAGTATTACCCATACGGAATGGAGGCAAAATCACTATGTATTTGACCTACTACATTTGATTTGTATTATAATAAAAATTATTATTTCATAAAATGCAGCAAGAAGAATTTTTATTTCATTTTTATATATTATGTGTTACTAATTCTGCTGCTAAGTTCTGGCTTTTGTAATTATTTTTAAACATTATTGAGTATGTTATTGCCAGTCCAAGTACTATTTTTTAATCTCTGTATTTTGGCCATGGCCAAACAGAAAACAATCCAAACTCGTCAAATGACTGAAGAAAACATACTAACCTTCACAGTATATTGTAGCCTGTCAACGTGTGCTTAAAACTGACTCATTGGCAGACACATGCACTTAAACCAGTAGGCATGGATCAGAGGTATAGCAACTAAGCTTCCTAGCAATGGAAAAAAAAATAAATTGCATAAATGTGAATTCTCATATGGTACTATTCATCTCTGAGTCTACTGTTTTGCTACTGTTGCTGTACATGACTAAACAGCTGTTGTTTTCCACCCAGGAGATGGGTGTACTTCAGTGGCTGCTAAAGTGGTACATATATTCAGAGCCTACTTTAAGATCCTTTCATGTTAGTGATGAGACTTTCCTGGGTGATTTTATCTAAAACTTAAGAATGACACAGGATGACTCGTCCATTTCAAATGATCTGAAGTCTGCTAAATGTCTACAGAGCCACAGCCCATATGTTCCAATCCAAACACTTCACTTGGCACTAGTTGCCAATGTAGGAGGAAGAACAAAGAGAAAAAAAAGACCATGTTGTGACTGAGCTTTCAGAAAAGGCAGAGCATAAAAGAGATGACAAAGCTGAAATAAGACTGCATAACAGTTCAGTTGGCACTTCAAGACATCTTAAAACTATTTCTCCATTTTAAAAGTTACGTACTTTCAAATGCTACTTCATTTCACAGTGCCAAGGCC